TGACCAAAAAATTGAACATGACGAAATGGAGAGCACCTTCTTTTCTCAATGCGCACTACATACTGTCAATCACTATGGCTGCGCAATCTTTTTTATTTTGAAGCTGATACATTCATCTCTCATAAAATGTCAAACATATTAATATTTTCCACCAAGAAAATTTTCGAATTTAATGGAACATTTACATGACCTATAAAAGTATAGTATATTTCAACTTCAATTTTCATAAATTGGCCTAAATTCGCCCATTCTAATTTTAACAGATATTAATTAATAAATGATTAAGGATTATAATAAACTAAGTCATTTTAGGGTTAACGAGGGTTAACTATTCGAAAAATAAAAATATAAATAATAAATAATTTTCGATTGATTATTATTATTATTCTTATTATTATTCATTAGTCTTAGTATTATTATTTTAATAATAGTAATTTAAAAAGTTATTGTTATTGGTGTTTTATTGGTATTTTTCTCATATTATTATTATTATTATTAATATTATTGTCGTTGTTGTCACCTCTATTATCGATATTATTACCCTATTAATACAAAGTAGGCCTATTATAAGTATCATTATTATTATTACTATTATTGCTATTATCACCTTCAATATCGTTATTATCACTAATTAGTTATTAAAATTGATATTTAAATATCTTTATTATTACCATACTAATTAGTATTGTTAAAATAAATAATTACTATTACTAATGTTGTTGTGTTTTTGTTGTTATCACCTTTATTATCGTCATAATGACTAAGTAGTAGTATTAAAGTAAATATTACTAATTTATTGTCGTTATTGTTGTTCAATATTATTGTTGAATTAGAATGTTGTGAGTAAACAGAAGACAAACACATTAATAAATAACTCTTTTTAATTCTTAGGCAATAGCATCCAAATATCTTTACGTAGTGTGGTGGTCCTGTTTTACTAAAATATACTCGTACTTTATTTCAATCATACGGTAATTGAAGAAAAAGGATGCAAAAACTGAGATTTACATTAAAGAACTTGTGGCCGAGTTGACTTGTGGCCAAGTTGATTTGTGGCCGAGTTGACTTGTGGCCGAGTTGGCTGTAGCCAAACTTTTTGTGGCCGAGTTGACTTGTGGCCGAGTTGACCTGCACCCTATACAGTAGTAGTAGGAGTCAATTAGAAACTGTACAGCATTTGACCTTCAACTCTGTGTTTTTTGCTTTTATTTATATTGGTTTTTTTTTTAACGCAGGGGCGGATTTAGGGGGTGTATGGAAATTTTGGAATGTAGAAGTAAAAAAAACAGAAAAAGAAATAATTGACCGCCCCAAACGTCTCAGAGGTTATTTTCGGGCCTCTAGAAAACAAAATATACGCGGAGGAATACCCAGGACTCTGGGGTAGTGTTGCCTCAATTGGTCCCCACTTTCAGCCCCCCTTGATATTTTTGGATCCACCCCTGAAATGTGTCTCACTTATTACTATCTTGCCAAAATTGTACTATACGCGGGGGAATACCCCGGACCCCCTGGGGTAGTGTTGTCTCAATTGGTCCCCACTTTCAGCCCTCCCCCCTTGGATATTTCTGGATCCACCTTTGAAATGTGTCTCACTTATTACTAATCTTGTCAAAATTGTACTATGTTGTAATAAGGCTCATGGTAATGTTAACCAGTGGCACTTAATTGAGAGTGGCACTTGAGAAAAAAGGAGTTTTAACTCTATAGACTTGTAAACCATTTGTAGTTGTTGGTAGTGTGCATTTCTGTAATTAGGCTGAAGTTTGGTTTTATCATCAATAAATGATATATTGTATCATCGCATATCGTTTCATCTCTCGAGCTCAAGAACCAAAACCTTATGTATATATGGTAAATGAAACATTGCCAGAAAAATGTGTAGGCCTATTATTGCTATATCACTAAACATGCAAACTTCCTTCCGAACATCGCTCTTTCATATCATCTATATCAAACTAGCTGCAAGGCTGTAAATGTCATTGCTTTCCCAAGCACATTCAGACAGATCAAAGAACATCATGTCCAACGTGTTAGGCTTGCTGATGGTCTAAAAATGGTACCCTAAATTGGCAGATTGTCAGAAGGTGTTTGGCCGAACCACAGAAACCCACTCTAATACGGGTCTCATCGCAGTTAATCCAAATAGAGAGCTGTGAATGAATACAATTTCAACATAAATACAATTGCAGGCTTGATGTTTAAATACCTTTTAGCCCACAAAGAAGCAACTTTAATGACTAAACCTCATGAACAAACAATACAACCGATTAACTGATTCTATACTGACTCACAATCAGTATTAAACATTTTTTTTGAGAAACAAATTAAAAGCTATGATCTTTTAGTCGATTGTGCTAAGTACCATTTTCTTAAAATTTCTAGGGGCTGATTATCATTATAGCAATTACTGTAATCAATTGATATAAAATTGAAAGAATCACAATAATTCAAAATTCTTTGATACACAATTACCAAAGTAAAGACATGCATCATACATTGGGATTCTTTTCTATAATATTTTAGGTCCTATACAAATGACATTCCATATTCTACAATTTGTATTATGCAATAATTTGCTATTTATTACATGTACTCTAGATTTGTGACCACACAGATAATCTACATTTTCTCCCTGATTTAATCTACCTTTTTATATTGGGTATTGCTAGATGCCTGGGTTGGATGGGGTTTGCAGTGCTTACAGGGTTTTCATACACAAAAGCCACAGCCATCTATGCTTCATGCAAAATTGTCCTAATGTTTGGTCAAAATCAATATTTAAACAATTTGTTGGTAAATTATTGGTGGGGCCTACAGGAGGGTTGGCCCATGCATTAAAATTGTTGGGTGCACACCTAGGCCGAACCTGTCCACCCAGTATCGCTGCCAGTGCATGACATGGGATAGGACAAGCACAGTAGCAGATGCAGGATTTTTTTTGCTGGAGTGTATGGGGGTTGGCTTAAGACGGAATAGAGTTCCTATGGTCGGAGGGGGCCCTATTGTCTCCTTTCTGTGGACCACTAAGCCCTGCCCCTTGGATATTTGTTTCGAAGGTCCCACAAAATATAGCGTAAAGCTACGTAAACACGTATTCTCAGTAATGCTCTGATTGGCCAGTTGTTAGGTTTGATTGACATCTTGGAAGGTCCATTGTGGTCCTCTGGATGGTCCAACATTTTTGCAATTTTAGACTCTTATCTAAATAATTTCTTGCTTGGTTACTTACACACTTAACCTACAATGTTTTCACTAACTTAGGTTTCAGACGTACTTGTAACACTATTGCTTATCTACTTTTCTATTTCTGAAATACAGTACATGTAGTATTCTTTTTTTTTATATATTCATCACATGCTTGGTCCACTTAAACTTTTTTTTTAACTTTACTTATTTATGTATTTAGTAATTAGTAAATTATGCTTGCAACATATTCAACAGCTTACATTATTGATATATCTACTGTCTATCCAATACAGGTCCCCCTTCAATTAAAGCCCATTGTTGGGACCAGAGTTCCCATGTTTTTTTAGCAGCTTTGGTCTCTAATTACAATAATGAAGATTTTTTAATTAGAAGGAGACCTGTATAAGAATACTTAATTACTATTTTTCTCACCACTCTTCCATTCTGAATATGAACAACTTTTCGTCAGCAATTTTAAAACTGAGGGACATGCTGAAACTTCCTAGGAAAAAATCATCACCTACAAGGTTGCATCCAAATATCACATTCCACTTGCCATAGAATGACTGCATCAACTTCATCCTCAGCAGATTACAGAGCTCATGACTGCTTGTACAATTTTTGATGATATGTTTGACAAGCTGACAGACTCTTGTGTCGAATATATCATCCCCACTACTCATGAACACCTTTGGTTCGAATGTTGCAAGATTTATCAACCCACTTCCTGTTGGCTTCTTGTACACTAGGACCTTTTCACTGTCATTGACAGTAAAAATTTCTGCCAGATTTTCATTGAACGGGTACCTACAGGTGAAGTCACCAATAACGCATGTCCAAAACTCTCCATACCTGTCGTCCATCTTCTGTCCAATGTAGTTGGCTCGTTTGAAATTCAACGATTCTCCAGGATTACCCGCCATGATTTGTCTGTATGTCTCCGATGTGGCATGAGGTTGCTCTTCGACGTCCAGGGTGTAAGCCTCACGGATCGTATTGATCAAGAACTTCTGTTGTTCTTGCGGCATTTGGGATGGTCCACGTACTTCTAATTTTACATCTATCAGTAAAGAAAATAGCAGAAAACTAACTTATGAACAGCAACAGCAACCTGATTTTATCTCTTTATATTTTTAGTGGAAAATTTAATGTTGAAAAAATCAGTCATAAAATATTTGAACCACTGTTCAAAAATTGATTTCATATTTATCTCATCCAAAAGTGAATTACGGTATAATATAAAGCTTAGGAAATACATTTTTCTACGTGCAAACTCTCTGGGTCAGAACCCTTTTCAGTGGCGTAGCTATGGGCACTGCAGCCAGTGCAAACCAGTGGGGCCGAGGGCTATAGTGGCCCATTCATATAGACCTAAAAATAATAATTTAAAATAATTTCCAATTTAATATATATTTGGAGAATAAAACGGCCAGTAAGCCCCTCAATAATATTCGGTTTTTAGAGGAGTAATTATTGATTACAGTGTTGATTTCAAATAAGTGATGTATTCAAGGGTGCCCCAGCCACCTAACCCACCTCCATGTTTTTAAAATTATAAAAGAAATGGGAAAAAATGAATATATTAAAATATAAATCTGAGAGTGCCATTTCCGGCCATCTAGAGATGCTATAATCTTAAATTTTCTTACCTTAGCCCCAAGCATGGTGGGACTGAGGTGGTCTTCACTCTCTACCTGTGAAAATCTCTCCCTGGTCCCTCTATTTCAAATTAACTGCCCTGCCACTGCAATTTTTAAATTTTATGTGCCACCAATTTTCTTGATTAGTTTAGAACAGCTACTGAGACTGAATATGCCCTCTCTTAAAATAGTTACGAATTTGATTATTATTGGTATTTATTATTAGTCTAAGCCTTTAAGAGTAGGGAGTCAAAGAAGCTCTTCTGACGATGAATTTTCTGAGAACTTAATCAAATTCCCCTATCACATAAAAGGGAGTGGTAATTAATTTTGCACTGGGGTCCTTTCGCACCTAGCTACGCTGCTGACCCTTTTAGTATTTTACTAGAAAAATGAATGTTAACGTTTTTCACTCTAATTTTGCACACCTTGATCTCACCCTCCTGCTTTATACGTGGCAGAGGGAGGCAGCCCTCAATTGACCTTCACAGCAATACCATAGTTGCCAACTTTTCACAAAAGAAATCTGTGAGAACTCACGTTGCGTAGCAACATGTCACTGGCTGGGGCCCAGGTTTTTACGAGCATTTGACGCTCGCGCAATCTGAGCATTTTCACTACTGATTTGATTGATCTTGGACACAAATTAAGTCACGTGTATGCAGGCCTATGTAAACTTAATAAAACCAAAAAGTTATTTTCATTTAAATTTGACCAAAGTACAGTACTGTAAACTTAGGATAAGTACCTGACAGTTGCTTGGTGTAAAATTAAAACAATTTTTACAGACTCACTTTATTCATGAATCACGATGTACAGACAGTACTTTCATGTGGAAAACAGATAAACAAACAAACCATGCGCGGTGCATTACAGGGTTAATAAAAGCACACTGACGGTAGCGGGCGTAAAGGGCGTCGTTTGTTTACGATTCTAACGTCAAGCGTACTGGGCTTGCACATAGCCTAGGGTTACTCTTTGCTACACTATAAGCATTACAGACAAATGGCAAATGATCTATTTATTGCATATATATTATTATATATGCAATACTTAACACACAACTCTGTGTTATTACATAATTGGATGGTGGAAGCCTAGACCTGCTGTTTATTGCATGCTGGAAGGCAGCTCCACAGCCCCCTTTCTCTAACTTTCATGCCATAGTTGGAGGGCGCTGCTTTCTAACTGTCTCTTATACACATCTAGATGTGTATAAGAGACAGCCTTATCCCTGCCTGTGTTTTTTTGTGGCAGAAGTGGCAGTATTTGGCTCTGCTTTTTTTACAGCCTAATTGAAGGGATGGCTGGCTGCAGTCCCTATCTTTATGGCACGACAAAACCTACAATCCTGTGGTTAAAATATAACACCTATACTACTAAACTAGCACATAACAAACAATGATGATGATGATGATGAGGATCAAAGAATAAACTTGTCAATATTCTCACCTGGAGTTTTAGTTTTCTGAACTAACCCTAAAGTCATGAATTCCCCTTGCACCCTCTCGATGCACACTGCATTTGGCTTGAATTTATGGCAAGGTTCACCCGGAGCATTTGGGATATGAACTGCTGATGTCACCTCTTTGGTTCTTTTCAAGACTTCACCATGGCTACGAACGAGATCATAATCTTCACCATTTAGCTGCAGGTTAGTAAGATATGCTGTCAACTTGGACAATGTTTCATTACTCACTGCAATCTCTGATCGTTTTTCAGAGATAGCTTGCTTTTCATTGTTGGCAAGATCTTGAATCTTCTCCCTGATGTCATCATGCTTACTCTGAATTGCTTTCATCATCTCATCATTCACCTTCTTCAGCTCAACCTGTGCAATTTCTGTTGACGAGTTGACATTCTCTTCTACTGCCTTCAGTTCACCCTCTGCCAGTGTCAGCTGTTCCTGGATAGTGACCACCTTTCCCATTCCTTGCTCAATATCTTTTCTAGCTTTCACAGCAGCTTCGCAGAGATTTTCACATACGTGCGAAGGCCGTGGATGATCTAAAGTTACACAGTCTCGACACACCGGCTTCTTGCATTTCTTGCAGTAAAAGTTCAAACGCTCACCGTGCTCCTCACATCGTACGTCAGTATATTTTTTCTTTCTTCCCGAAGCAACCGAATCTCCACCTCCTCCTAGCTTGCACTTAATTGAGTCAATCATACTGGTCACGAAAAACATCGACTTCAGGCTCGATATTTTACCATTTCTCAACTGGGTGACCTCTCTACAAGTTGGGCATTCCACACATCTATTTCGTTTCCACTTTCCAAGGCATTCCGCACAGAAAAAATGAAGACACTGCAACAATTTTGGGTCTACGCAGTCTTCCATACATATCTGACAATTGAGGAAATCAGATTTTAACTCCTCCAAAGGCTTATTTGCCATTTCAACGGTGTAATGCTAATAATAATACTTGATCAAACAGCCCGAAAGTTCGGACAAATATCTCTCAACTTTGTCCGCGAATCAATCTGGAATCCCAGGTGACGAATTGTGTTTGTGTCTTTGGTTTGTTTGTGGAGTTAATAATTCTAGAGGGCGGGCTAGTACTTTATGAAACAACTTTTGTAGAGTTCCTCGCTGATATTAACAGCCGGGTTCTCTGATAGACAAGAAGAACATTATTTAAATAAATACAAGTTGATGATGGGTTGATAAGCTTTAATTTTTAAATTGCTTAATCATTACATTTACACTGTTTGAACTGCAAAGATTTATAGACTTACTACTGTCTCACTGCCTATTCCTCACCCCACCCAGATCTGCCCATGACAAACAGTAGGCCTATTATAATATAATATTGATATTTATAATTATTTTACAGACGTTCGTACACTGGTGGCGCCAGGATCTGCCAGATGGAGGGGCTAAATACCCCGACGGGGAGGGGGTTAGTGGAGCGAATTGAGTCTCACTTGGCTGGGGGCGAGGGGGCCGCCTAGGGCCCCCGGTGGGGGTCCTGGAAGCCACGGATATTTGATGAATTATGGCGAATTTTTATTACTTATTTGATAGGCATCGAGTTACTATAATATGACTTCATGTAGGCTGCTTTCTAATGTTGAAATCAGCTTCCAAAACCAAAACATTTTGAATAATGCAAGAAACAAAGAGTATGCAATATAACCATCTATTTTATTTTAAACCATTCTTAAAAGTGAAATTCTATATTTTGGAAATTTTGCATGAAATCTGTTAACCACGCTGTCATGGTCGAGGTTGCTTCACCTATCAGGATGTATTCCAACCATCATGAGGCTATCTAAAATGAGCATTTGTCATAACAGAACACAAATTATTTTAAATTAGTCTCATTTAATTATTATTATTATTATTGTTATTGTTGTTGTTGTTGTGATGAAAAGTTAACACAAATATGGTGGCTAAACGAATATTACATGTAAATATTTTTTTTTATTTGTTTGTTCCCCGACAAAACTTATCGTCTTCCCCGACGGGGGGTGGGGCTACGCCCCCCCCCCGTATCGCCTCTGGCGCCACCACTGCGTTCCCCAGTTGTCATCTATCTGGGTCTATTTTTTCAAAACGGACAGTAAGCACCACTTCTCTGGACTGGAAATTTTCTCTGTTTTTCTACCACCAGAAAGGTGCTAGCCTAAAAGTTATATCAGTCTCATACGTCTTTTATACCCTATACATTAACGTATCACCATGCATGGAGGTTTTTAATACCTTCATGGTATCACAATCGCTAACTATAAACATGGAGGTATAAAAGCACAACTTACGTGTGTCCGTTTCAGAAGTTTAAACTCGGAATCAGGGAATTGTGTTACTTACGGAATCGAACTTGTTGTGATACTGATAGAATTACTCAATAATAATGGCTACAGTAAAAGTAGGTGTAAATATGGGCCTCGTCCACTGTATTGGAAGAAAACTCGCTGGACCCACTCATTGGTCACTTATAATTAAGAAACCTTGCCTCAAATGCATACCATATGGCAAGTGAAGGGGATCAAGGACGCCTTATCAAAAATAAACTGTCTCACAAAAATCTGGTATCTTTGCTGAAATCCAGTGGCGGATTAGGGGTCCAGACTAGTTGGCCCACCATGGTTACGGTACTTAAGGTACCAAATTTATATCACCATCATTGGGGTTTACGGAAGGATCCCCCTGCCCCCTGAGAATCCGCCCCTTTTCCCCCAGTTTTTAAATATTCAAAAATCTGTAGCTCGTTCACCGTTCCCCAGTTTTTCGTCAAACAACTTTTTTTCTGTCTTGGAAAAATCAGTTCTACAACATATCAAAACATTTTTTTCCTCCGGAGTCTGACTTTAACACAGATTGCACGGCCCCTGTGTTGATCTGGGCATCCGTGGATATATAAAGTTGAACTGAACATTATAATCTATTGGGTTTACTGTGCTTTTGGAAACACACAAAATAATCAAAATGGTCAGTGCCTGAAAAAAAAAAAAAATTGACGTGCTAAAGTTTCCAACTGTATATCAACCCCATCAACGGCGAGGCAAGGCCCCATAAAAAAAATTATTAGTTTATCACCCTATCAAAAAACTGATGAGGGAGGGAGTTTGGTTTTTTTTTTTTTTTTAAACTATGTACATAGTGACTTCACACGCTTTACACTTTTATTCGTGTATATAACACATATCTTTTTTATATACATTTAAAACATTTCTTTTATATACAAAAAATTAAGAACCCTGTCTAAACAATTAAGTACGCCTGATGTTTGAAAATCTTCAACATCAAAATATAAATTTTGTTCTGTATGTATATTTGTGATTCACACGCTTTACATGCGTGCGTATAACATATCCCATATTTTTGGGGTTTTCAATTTCTATAGGCCTACATTTAAAACATTTCTTTTATATAGAAAAAATAAAAAATACGCGTCACTAATTGATGCTATTTCTAAAGAATGGATTGTTATAATTGAGCAACATAACCTGTTTTTGGCCTTATTTGATGCAAATTGTAATAGCAAATAAACAAGAAAAATTAATCGTGAAACTTCAATCGCAAGTTGAAATCAGCCTGATGGAGTAAATAACATTAATAGCGCCCTCTATAGTTGACAGTCCGAAAACTTCATTAAGATACTGGACTGCCGTATCTCTTCCTATATTGTACTATAGTTTAATCAGTGGTGGATTTCACGGGGACTTAGCCGGCATGAGCCCCCCCCCCCCACCCCCCTAAAATTTATAAATACACACTTTTAAAAAAAAGGATAAAAAGGGAAATTATAATTAAATTTAGGTCTGAGGTGGTATACACCCTCCGCCTGTGAAAGTCCCTTCCTCCCTACCTCTATTTCGAATTCCTGGATCTGCCATTGCTAATTAACAGCTCATTATTGTTCATTGGAAAAAATTAAAATAAAAAAATACCAAGTGCCCAATTTATTTGGCGGAATGTGTTTCTCCTAACTGGCAATTGATTAATGTTAATTCAAAATGACCGGCTTCATGGGCGGATTTGGGGTGGGGGGGCCGCCTCCCCCTTTTTTGGGAGGTAAGAAAAAGAAAGAGAAAAGAAAAAAAAGAAAGAAAAAGAAATAAATGATAGCCCAGAACGCCTCAAATGTTATTTTCGGGTGTCTAAAACACAATAATTTCGCGGGGTGGGGCAATGCTGTCTCGATCGGCCCAACTTTCGCCCCTCCCCTCCCCCCATTTCGCCCCCCACTTTTGGACATCTCTGGATCTGCCCCTGGGCTTACACAAAAATGTCTGTGGCAGTTACGAAAATGTCTTCCACCCGAATGGACTGTGCACAGAAACTGTGTATCAACAAATACTATGGAATGCGTTTTACATATTGACTCTGTCCATTAGTCATGAAATAATATTTATCAGAGATCGATAATCAGCGTTCGAAAATATAATCACCTAATGTACCATCATTGGAAATCGGTGGCATGCTAGTGTGGCACCTGTCTCTTATACACATCTAGATGTGTATAAGAGACAGATATATATGTGTGTGTGTGTGTGTGTTTGTGTGTATGTGTGTGTGTGGGTGGGTGTGTGGGTGTGTGTGTGTATGTGTTATTGATTGATCAAGAATTGGAATGATGAATGGGTGGATAAAGCAATGAATGAATGGACGGATGGATAAATGAATTGCGTTGGGTGATGTATAGTGCATGTTTGTAGTTGTATGTTAAATATTTAATGGATGGACGGACGAACGAATGAATAAAGGAAAGAACGAATGAATAGAATTAATGAATGAATACATAGTTGGATGAGTGGATATGTGGATGAATGGACAGCCAGGGATGTACTGTACTGGTTGATGGGGATTCACAATTGAGTTGCGTAATAATACAGTTACCTACGTATACTCTCGTTGTAAACGATAGGTTATAACTGTCATTGTTTGTATTTATATATTAATTTCATAACGTCCGTTCACACGGTTGTCAGTTTACACCGCGACATGGATAGGATATATAATCTGCCCGGATGATACACCGTGGTTTGAAAGCCAACTGAACATTATGATGTTTTACATCAATCGATACAGGCCTATACAAATTAACATAAACGTGGACGTGACTTCGGTTGGTTTGAATTGTAGCGGCTCTCAAGGCCATGGAAAATGAAGCGGTAAAATCAATTTACTCGTTCTCTTTCAAATGATGCAGTGACAAAGTACTTTTGTTGTGAGTTACTCGGTGGAGCGAAGTGACGGCGTGGTATCATACTTTCTCGTAATAGAGCCTTTGTTACCCAGTACCTAGGTACGCTGTCATTCAATGACACAGGTATTCCATATCATCAGTAGGGCTACAGTACATGCAATGGCATATCTATGTGGTGCGCGGGGGAGGGGGTGCTCTTCCTAAAAAAAGATTTCATCCCCCAGTCGCACTCATTGAAAATATTCGAAGCAAAAAGATAACGCTCAAGTACTTAAAAATCTCCTTATATCACCTTATTTTGCGAGCTACCACTGTCTTCCCTAAACATCGAACCCCGTACTTTACATTCTCCCCACCCCCATCAGCCCCATTTCGATACGTCAAGTACAGGACCACGGAACACGAGATTTTAACTGGCAGACAGTGGAATATTCTATTTTATTTATATTTTAATTACGGTAATTAATAAGTTTGATACACTTGTTTAAGCAGTATAATATGTAGTAATGAGGATTTCGAAGAGAAACCACTGGCCCTACACTACATAGTTACCAACTGTCTCGCATCCTGCGGGACGCGGTCCCGCATTTCAAAGTGATTTTGGATGAAACACGCATTTTGCAGAAACAATTGCGTGATCAGAAATTTGTCACGCACTTAGCACAAGTCTATGCGTGATAACCAATTATCACGAATTCATAGGAAAATGTATTTAAAATTAGAAGAAATTGTTGTTATTATAATATAAAAACGGTCATGCAGTAGCTTGAGTCATTAAAGCTTTCGTTCTCGTTCGAGAATCAATTTACCGAGAAAATTTCTCTTTCCCCACCAAAACAACCCAGCCAACCATGCACTTAGTATGAATCAGGTAGTCGCGTGCGGTCTTGTGCGTTCCATTATCACAACCAATCGTTGATTATGTGACTGGAACCCGGGCCTCCAGGGTTCCGTCACTGACCCCGGGGTCTCTGGCGTCCCCCTCCCACTCAACTGGTGTAGTCACGCATTTCAAATCTCTCAGGTTGGTAACTATGACACTATAATAGGCAATGTAATTGAATTATCATTTTAACACTTACGTCATCAAGATATGTGCACATGATTATGTGACGTAATGTGTAGTCAAGAGTCAAAAAATAGATAGAATCATAAATACTGAGTGACTAAAAATCAGAGCGTCAGATGAACGACACGTGATAGGTATGACGCCCAGTGTGAAAGCCAGTTAACTGTATCTTGTTTGTGTATCGACAAAATGTGTAGCGCTCGTGAAGTTATATAATGCGGATGCGTTGGCTGGTATGTTGATTGACAGCCCGGTGGAGCTGGTAGGTGATGATAATCTTAATAGACGTATTTTGTGTGACAGATGTTCAATGGTTCAAACATGAACATGTACTAAAGCCTAGGTGATCAATTTATCCAAAGTATAGACATGCAGTCATTCATTTTATATACTTTATTTCAGAACAAATTTCCTTACAACAACAAAATAAACTAGTATACATTTGAATTATGCATTCCGAAGCCCGCATACCCATACACAAGCAATATATAGGCCTACTCAGAATAGAATTTCTTAACTACAGTACAGGTACTTCTAGTGCGTTAGCTAAATTAAATTTTTTGATATAGTGAAGATGCGTCTAGAGCATATTGTTTAAAAATATAGCGCCGAAAGCGCATTTGGGAGGTGGGGGGGGGGGCTGTCAATCTGCAGGGGCCCATTATTAGGGGACCCATGCCATTATGAGGGCCTATGATAGGGTAATTATTGTTTTTGAAAAAAAAAAAAAACATTTAAAAAAATGTTATCTGCAATTTCCCCCTGGTAAGGTTGAGCTACGGGTATATTTCCCCCTTCCCCTACTTCTCGGTGGCACTGATGACGATCATGATGATGATGGTTACATCCATTTCAAACAGTCGTTATTTGCATCCTGTATCTAATGCCTATTGAATAAAATAAGCTTAGGCCTACTGTTTAAAGTCCGCCAAATAGACTTCGTGGAAT